TCATGCTTCAATCAGATTGCCAGAGAAAATATAGCATGCCAAATTAAATTTGAATTTCAGATAAACAATGAATACTGTTTTAGTATAAGTCATGTCCCAAATATTGCATAACAAATGCTTATACTGAAAAAAAAACTCATTATTTATCTGAAATTCAAACTTAGCTTGGAATTCTGTAATTTTGTTTTCTTTTGTTACTAAACCTGGCAACCTTCTGCTTTTAGGCCTTTGCTCAAAGAGCTCCATCTGCTTGGCAATTTTCTGTGCCTTCTCCATCATGCACTATCTTGTTCATCCTTTTAAGTCTAATGCAAAGGTGAGTTCTCTGATGAGAATGCCTCCAGTACCTCGCTGCATTGTAAAATCCATCACTGGCATTTCCAGTATTACTCAGCATTATAAACTGAATGCTAAGCTCTCCAAGACAGGGCCTATGGACTCAGCTCTGAATCCTCAATACCTGGTGAGACATGTGTCGTGGAGAAGGCATTCAATACTGAGTCATGAACAGAGCTATGGAGAAGGCTTCCCAGTTCTGCCATTCCCTGTCATATATTTCTCCTTTATCTTTGAAATTCTTTGAAATGCACCAAAATTCCTGCATAGAAATTGCTTCTCTCTATCTCTCTGTATTTTATTTATTTATTTATTTATTTATTTATTTGAGACAGGGTCACACTCTGTCATTCAGACTGGAGTGCAGTGGTGGGATCATGGCTCACTGCAGCCTCAAACTCCTGGGCTCAAAGTGTCCTTCTGCCTCAGCCTCCTGAGTAGCTGGGACTATAGGAGTGTACCACCATGCCCAGCTGATTAAAAAAAAATTGCAAATACTGGGTCTCACTGTGCAGCCCAGACTAGTCTTGAACTCCTGAGCTCAAGTGGTTCTCCTGCCTCGGCCTCCCAAAGTGTTAAGATTATAGGTGTGAGCCACTGCTCCCAGCCAAGAGTGTTTCTCTTTCTCATTTTGAGCAAAAGATATCCAGTCATTGTAAGATGTCTGAACCATATTAACACCTTGTATTAATCTCCTAGGGCTGCCATAACAAATTACCACAAATGAGGTGGCTTAAAACAGCAGGAATTTATTCTCTCACAGCTTAGAGGCTGGAAGTCTGAAATCAAGGTGCCGGCAGGGTCACACTCTCAGTGAGGTCTCTAGAGGAAGGTCTGTTTCACGCCTTTCTCTTAGCTTCTGGTGGTTGCCAACAATCCTTGGCTTTCCTTGGCTTGTAGACACATTGCTCCAACCTCTGCCTCCATTGTCACATGGTGTTCACATGTGTCCTTCCATCCTCTTTTTTCTGTACATATCCGTATCTCACATGACATTTGCCTCTGTGTGTGTGTCTCTTCTCCTTTTCTTTTCTTTCTTTTTTTTTTTTTTTTTGAGGCGGAGTCTTGCTCTCTTGCCCAGGCTGGAGTGCAGTGGCCGGATCTCAGCTCACTGCAAGCTCCGCCTCCTGGGTTCACGCCATTCTCCTGCCTCAGCCTCCCGAGTAGCTGGGACTACAGGTGCCTGCCACCTCACCCAGCTAGTTTTTTTGGGTATTTTTTAGTAGAGACGGGGTTTCACTGTATTGGCCAGGATGGTCTCGATCTCCTGACCTCGTGATCTGCCCATCTTGGCCTCCCAAAGTGCTGGGATTACAGGCTTGAGCCACCGCGTCCGGCCCCTCTTCTCCTTTTCTTATAAGGACACCAGCCACATTGGGTTGAGGGCCCACCTTATTCCAGTACAATCTTATCTTAACTTGGATCGTGATTATATCTGCGAAGACCCTATTTCCAAACAAGGTCACATTCACAGGTACTAGTGGTTAGGACTTCAACACACATTTTGGGTGATATAGTTCAACTCACAACAACCCTGGACAAGTGACTTCTCCACTCTAGGCCTCCATTCCTGCATCTGTAAAATGGTCATAATCTTGCTTATCTCGCTGAAGTCAGGGATTGAATGAGATCATGCATAGTGCCTCCCGCATTGGAGGGCTGTGCCTATGACTTCTATTCCTGTTTCTTTCTAGTCCCCTGCTAGCTGTCTGCAGCATGAAACATTGACAATAAAGGAAGTTGCAGCAGGTAGAATTTTGGCTCACAGAGGCCAAACAGAAGCACAACGTTCTGTGTGTTTTTTCAGAGCTCGCTTCCTTCCAGCTGGAGGACTTTTCCTTGTAGTGTAATCCTCTGCTTAACTTACTCTCATCTGTGTAGGACGCAGGGGCTGGACATGTGAACTGACTTTAATAAAGGTTTCGGGTGATTCTAGGACACCAGGCCGAGATGTGTGTCTTTGGCAATTTACCCCTGTCATGAGTGGTTATTTTTTCATGGTCAAAACAAATAAATACATAAAAAGTGCCTAAAACCTATAGGGAATCAAGTTTCCAAACTCTGTTCTTGCGGCTGACTTCTGAATCATAGTGTTATAATTAAAAAAAGAAAACACAAAATTGTACTTGGCCATGAAACATAAATTGTACCTTTGTAAAGGTCAAATACTAGTTGTGATTAACCAGACGAGTCACACTTTATCCTGGTTAAAACAATACTGAATTTTAAGACTGCTTATAGGATTTCCGCACCCCTCTACCCGACCCTCTTTCTTGCAGAAGTTTACAGTTGGAATCTTATTTAAAGTGGGGTTTTATTTTTATTTTTATTTTTTCAATGTGTGAGATGATTTCCATTGGTTTGGCAATCTGCGCTTGAGTGATGCTATATAGCATTATCAGGGTGCCGACAGCTGCTCTGGCATAAACAAGTGGTGATGCGTTGAGCTGGCACATCCGTATGGTTTGGAAAATAAAATAAAATAAAAACATTTGTTATCATTTGGAGTTTTTGAACACAACCAGCTTCAGCACAACTTTAATGCCTCGCATGGCTTTCTTTAAAAACTAAATAAATAATTTTAAATGAGAACATTTTGTTTCGCTAGGAAGAGTGGTTTTACTGTGTGGATGGGGAGAGAAGCCTCGGTTTCCAGCAGCTGTTGCTCATCTTTGGCCCGGGGTCTCGTGATGGGTCTGCTGTTGGCTAAAGCCCAATGCTGGATCAGTGGAGCTAATGGAATCTCCGTCTGCTTATCATCTCAGACACTGCAGAACATTGGCCCTCAGAAAATCCTGGCTTTCTAACCCGCTTTCTCCCCCATCCCCTCCCTACCACCCCAGGAAATTCTCTGGAGGGCTGCTCTGGAGGCAACAACACCTAAAAATTTAACATTGGTTCTTTCTTCTAGAAAGCTAAGCTCAGGTTCAGGTTTGGTATTATTTATGCTTTTATGCGGTAGTAATAACAATGCCAGCCACTAATAATTATGGCGATCAGTGGTGACATTATAAAACGCTTTTTTATTTACAAAGCATCTGGGCATATGTAGCCTCATTTGGGGGGTCTCAGGTGTCAATCAGTATTCCTATTCCACTTCCTAAAGATGTGATATTGGCACTTCCCACGTCTTAAAGGCGTAACCACTCCCATTTCACATGTATAAAATGGGAACTGGGAGTTCTACCCCCAGGGCTTATCTATGACTCTTTTGGGTGACTGGCAAAACGAACGAAAATCAGACACACGCTTAGACATCTGCAACACCCACAAGATCATATAAAACGCTTTTACTTTTTGTGACAGGACTTTCGCTCATTGTGACCACATAGTTTCTTTCAATTGATCGGAAGTTCCACTGGTCTCTTCTACATGCCTTCATGCCGTTTCTTAACAATGAAAAATAAACGAATAATTGTATAATAAACACAGATTTTAAAGTGGACGGTATCTAAACTCCATGTAGGCAAGGACCTAATTGGTCTTTTTCATCCTGTTTTCCTAGTGCCTGGGAGAGGGCTGGCACTAAGTGTTTCTGGACAAGTCATCTCGCTTCTCTGAACTTCAGCTTTTACATGTATAAAATGGGGACTGGATTTCCTATTCCAGAGTGCTGGCACATAATAAGGACTCATTATATATGAATTAAATGAATGAATAAATAGATATGTAATCTAGGGGTAGGAAGTGGATAACTGTAGATGTTAGGCAGAAGTGTGCTGATAAATTAGCTTAGTCCTGATTGGTAATCATGGCCGATTTCACGCCTCTGTTAAGAGGTTACAGAATGCTGAGTTGGGAAGAGATCTTTCCAATCAGTTCCTGTGACCTGTGGCACTCGCACTCCAGCACATCTTTGACTTGGGTGGTAAAATAGTTGCAAACCCCTGTTCCACTTCCTGTTTGTTTTCGGGAAGTTTCTCCCTCAGGCAGAAAGGTTTGGGGACTTCCAAATTGCTTGAGTTTACACAATTCCTATTCTCTGGCCAATGTCAGAGTATTTTTCTTTCTTTTGGCAGAGAAGAGAGAAGGGTATGAGTTGCCAGGTAGTGGATGCAGATGGAAGAACTGGTGGGCCCATTGGTTGACCATTGGTGGTTGGGGCCATCTTACACAGAAAGTTCATCCTCTTGCCCTTTCCCACTGTGTTAATATGGGAACGCTCCTTCTCCTGTCCTTTATGCCTGTAGTGATTAACCTGGCCATTTTTAAGTAGGCTATGCTAGGAAGCACCTTTGCAATTCCTGCTATTTCATAGGCTTTGCAAAAGTCCTAGGTTTTTGTTTTCTTCCCAAGATTCATTTCCTACCAGTTACATCTACTATTTCCCATCCTCTCTGGCAAAATTGCAAGGAGTGGCATCAGCACATCTTTGTACAGTAGGCGAATATATTTGGAATGCTTATTTCTGAGAGCTGTTGAAGACGACTAACAATTTTACACCACACAGAGGGACTGACAATAAATTTAGGAGTGGCAAATGGAACCACTGTTGTTTCCCTCTCGGTAAATAAATAACTGCAAAACCTGTACTCCAATACCAGAGCGTCAAATCCATGGCGCTCTGTTGATTAACAGTGAAAATGCCTTTGTGAAGACGATACATTTAGAAGAGTCCTGAGGCTCGCACCAGAAGCTGACACTGAAGGTTTATTTTAATGTAGCGCGAATCAGAGCGAACGACGTGAAAAGAGTTCTGTTTCTCCTGGAAGGATGCCACTTGTTTCCACTCCCAGGGAAATGTCTTCCAAGCTCTTTACCAAATCTGCAAGCTGAACCAACTCAACTGTGGCTGCCTTGCCCACCTGAAGACCTCAGGATCCACCAGCAGCCCAAGACACCTCGAAGCTGGTGCAAGGTCAGTACCAGAAATCATGTCTGAGTGATTTGCAATGTAATGCAAAACTCAGTGGAATGAGGAGTTTTTTGTGGCCTTGTATTTTTTTTTTTTTTTCCACACCACTGAATGCCAGTGTTTATGTGGGGGCATGCTTAGAGATGGAAATTTGGAAGGAAAGTCCACCACAGCGTTTATGCAAATTGGGGACCCAGGAATATTATCTGTTTAACGACACCAAGAGCAAGCAGATGAATGTATATTAACCACATTAGAAGTAAAAGAAGAAAGACGTAAGAATGATATGGAGAAGGAGAGAAAAAGACAAGGAGGTAGAGAGGGAGCAAGAGGGGAAAGAGAAAAAAGATTGATGGATTGAAAACTTTGCCATCCGTTATAGCAATGTGTTTGCACCTGCTGTTCCCTTGTCTAAGAATGCCATTCCACCCTTTCTTCAGCTGGCGAACTCCAACTCAATCTGTGACCTCACCTTAATGTTATTTCCTCAGGGAAATCTTCCATAAACCACAAGACTGGGTCAGGTCCCCATATTATGTGGTCTGATGAAACTGTCTTCTTTTTTTTCTGTAGCACACGTCATGATGTCATGATCATAATTATGTATCCTGGTATATGTGATTATCTGTTACATGCTAGTCTTCCTCAAGGATCAAAAGTTCTAAACTAGTAAGATTCCAGAAGCCTAGTGCTGGCCTTAGCTCTGAACAGGGCCTTCAAGTCACCCACTGTGTTGGGGAATGATGAATGAATGGATGTTTAAAATAACTGCACTTTATTATCTGAGCCTTCCTTGTTTAGCATAGTCCTGTCCACATGCACATACCACAGGCCAGCCTTGTGAGATAATCAAGAAAGGAGCTTAATTCCCATAGCTTTTTAGTGCCATTTCTCAGGTCCCAATAGATTTCACTGATTTGCCAAGAAGAAGCACCAGTGGGTCAGAGGCAGAATGTGAACGGAATTCAGTCTCCCAATGCCAGGGTCCCTCCCTCAATTCCCACTCCTCAGTAGACAGATCTCTCTGCAGAATGGGAAGGGGAGGGTTGAGGGTTTAGGGAAAGGACAGTGAAAAGGCAGGAAGAGTAATCATGACAGAAGAGATTTACTCCTGCCTTCTTCTCCTTTCTTTTTGCATTAAGGACAAGTGTCGCCTGCACACGTCAGCACAAATGGGAACATGATGAGGTACCACTTTTTCCAGGGCTGTGACCAACTCCTCAGGGCAGCAGGCAAAGCTGTCCCTCTGAGTTAGCCCTTGAAGTTTTCCTCAGATCTCTTGCTGCAGGGAAGCCAAGCCAGTCAACCCTAGGCTTCCACTGGGAGCTGTATTCCTTCCTTCCTTCATTCATTCCCCAAATATTTTTCAAGGGTCCACCATGTGCCAGGCACTGTGCTAAAAGTGGATTGTGTAGGCTCGAGTGAGGCCTGTGAGGTGACCAGCTATCCCAGTTTCCCTGGCGTGAGAGACTTTCTGTGTGCAAACTAAGACAGCTGGTTACCCTACTTTGGGCGTGAGCTTAGGATGCAGTGTAACTTTCTGTACAGAGTGTAATTCTGAAGAATCACACCAAGATCACCTTCCTTGCTAAAACGAACATCCTCAAGCTCCAGTCCACACCAGTGATTCAAATCCTCTGAGGCTGGAAACCTATGTTGAATCAATTCCCCCAAGTTGTTATTATGCATATTTAAGTTTGAGAACAGCTGGACTAGTGCTTAGGCATATGAACTTTAAAGCCACTCAGGCGTGGATTCAAATTCCACTCCCACCATTAAACATCTATGCACATTTTTACAAATTGCTTAATCAATATGGACTCTAATTTCCTAATTTGTAAAATGGGTCTGATAATACTATTTTCATCGTGTTCTTGAGTGATGCTGCCTAGAGTTGAAGGAGGCCAGGAGCACCAGAAGCTGGAGGAGGCTGGGGTGGATTCTCCCCTGGGGACTTCAGCAGGAGCACGGGCTCCTGACACTTCAGTTCCATCTCTTGTTTAAAGGCACCCAGTTTTTCATCATTTGTTACAGCAGCTTGGAAAACTCACACACAAGTGAAGCCCCGACCTACCCCACAAGTGCCCATCTGAGCATCCCTTGTTGGCTCTGAGCAGAGGTGAATACTCCTTTCATTCAGGCTGCATGCCCAGTCCCCATGTAATGTAAGTAATGAACAGACTACATATTCTTGAAAAACCTGTAGGCCCGGATAATAGCAATGTTTTTTGTTTTTTATTTTTATTTTTGGAATGCAAAACAACAACAATAACAATAACAGAAAACCAAAACCAAACCTGGACTAGAAATGCAAGAGAAAAATGAAGCAACTGAAAGTTGCATAGTTGTTTCTTCCTTCCCCTGAAGGTATGCCCAGCATCTTGTAGGTAGCTTGGTGACATTTCATGGTGATGTTTTACAAGTTGGTTTTGGCAATAGTCACGTCCTTTTTTTTTTTTTTTTTTTGAGATGGAGTCTCACTCTGTCGCCCAGTCTGGAGTACAGTGGTGCAATCTCTGCTCACTGCAACCTCTGCCTCCTGGATTCTTCTGCCTCAGCCTCCCAAGTAGCTGGAATTACAGGTGTGGGCCACCATGCCCGACTAATTTTTGTATTTTCAGTAGAGACACGGTTTCATCGTGTTGGTCAGGCTGCTCTCAAACTCCTGACCTCGTGATCCACCCACCTCAGCCTCCCAAAGTGCTGGGATTACAGGCATGAGGCATCGTGCCTGGCCCCCTGTATTTTTCTTACGTGGCTGTGAAGTCTCTGGGCTGCTTTTGGGTTCTTCCTTCTTGATTTAGCACAAATCCCAACTTCTTGGCCATGTTCCTTTCCTCTCCAGAGTTGCCACCACTACCTCCACGTCTTGCAACCCCTCTTCCCTTCACTTTGACTGCCACCTTCTTCATTGCCCAGGAAAAAAAATAATGAAATTTCACCATTAAAAGTGTTTCAGTGCAGTTTGCTATGGGAACACTGGTGAGTAACCCAAATGGCCAGTTGTCCTAATAGCCACCATGGATTGGATGGATGCTAACAACAGGCTTAGAACTCCCCATCTGTTGCCTCCTTTTATCCACATGAGAATCAGACAAGTAGATGCTGCTGGTATTACTGTACTTTTCTCGTTTTACAGGTCAGGATGGGGAGGGTTGAGGAGGTTAAGGATGTTGTTTGAGGTCACACTGCAGTTAAGAAAGGAAAAAGGACTTAGAAACTTATTCTTCCAACTTTAGAACCAAGGTCAGTGACCAAGGCCCTGCTTAGAACTTTCTGAAGGTCACAGCTGGCCTTCTACCTGGAGTTTTGACTTCCTTTCTGAGATAGGAACTTGAATGGCAATCACAAGAAAGTTCAGAACTTCTCTTTCGTATTTTAGGCATTCCTTTATTTTTAAAATTTATTTTAATTTACGAATACTAATTGTATATATGTATAAGGCATGATATGATATTTTGATATGGCCACCTTGTGAAATAACTAAATGAGTCTCATTACCAAGTCTGGCACCTCACATATGTATTTTTTTGTTTGGTAAAACATTGAAAATCTATCCTTTTAGCAATTTTGAAACATACGATGCATTTAAAAAATTATAGTCACCATTTTGTGCAATAGATCACTAAAGCTTATTTCTCCTGTCTAACTGAAACTTTGTACCCATTGATCGATATCTCCCTTTTCCCCACCCACATCCCTCCCCAGTCTCTGGTCACCAACATTCCACTCTCTGCTTCTTTGGACTCAACTTTCTTAGATTCCACATACAAGTGGGATCATGCAGTATTTGTCTTTCTTTACCTAGCTTATTTCACTTAGCATAATATCCTCCAAGTTCATCCATGTTATTGCACATTACAGAATTTACTATTTCTAAAAGGCTGATAGTATTCCTTTGTTTATATAGACCACATTTCTTTTATCCATTTATTTGTTGATGGGCACTTAGGTTGATTCCATATCTTAGCTAATGTGAATAATGCTGGAATGAACTGTAACGTGCAGCTATCTCTTTGATATACCAATTTCAATTCCTTTGGGATATACCCAAAAGTGGGATCTCTTTTATTTTTGAGTGTGATTTAACTCCAGCCTCTCAGCTCTTTCTCTGAAAATCAGTGTGAACTAGTTATTCCCAGATAGAATCTATTAAGCAGGACTTTTGTTTTGGAGTCATCTCTAAGGACTTGCAAATTAGGAGAAAATGTTTTTCTGGACCTCTGCAACAACACAAGCCATTTTGTTGGCCAGCATTTCCTAGAAGTCATTCCAGGTAATAGGTGTTCCTTGAACAACAACAACAAAAATTTTTCATGAGCAAAGACTTGTAGGAAATCCTGCCGTGAAGGTTTTATAATTGCTGGACTTCAGAGCCTTTTGTTTGCTAATGTAGTCTGAGGATCTCTAAAATGACGCTATGATATGCATCCATTATCTTTTCATGAAAGGTAGCTACATTTGGGCTTCCACAGAGCAACTTTGGGGACGTGTTACTTTGGTTTCTTCCTTGCAATTAGCATTTTCTTCTCTGTGACGTAGGGAGGTGTGTCCATATCTTTCCTGAGAGTTCATTATTTTCCAAGCCTGATCTATGTAAATATCAAATCACTTACAAGACATGGCAGGCCTTCCCGATGATGAAATTGTCATGACTTCATTGTTCCTATAATCACCCAAATGAGTTCTGAAGTGTGGGCCTTTAGCTGCTGAAAAATAGGAAACAGAGTCAAGTCTTGCCCTATCTTGAATTGTATGTGACAGCTCATGCTCAGTTTCAGTGACAAGAAATGTGTTGAGCTAAAAATATTCTAAGCAGATGTGAATCTGGGACATGTGACTGCAAGACACCCCTGCCTGCCATTTTTTCGACTTCTAGTGTCTCTCAATGCACAGTCGCTACAATCTCAGGCCACCATAGCACCCTGTGCATGCAACTTGTTTCTGTGAGTGCATATCTGAGGCCACTGGAGATGGCTTGGTGGAGAATATCTCTACATCAGCCAGCCACAGTGGCTCCTAGCAGCCCCAGAGTGGATGGGAAGAAATAAATTCCATCACAGGTTAGGCCTAAGTTCTTCTTATGAAAATTCTTGTGCATTTGTTTTTTCCCTCCAGTCTTCCATATCATTAACAAGAGCTTGATTCTATCCTCTGGTTTGAAGACACATTGCTCCCATGATTCTGTAGAAGTGGGTTTCAAGTTGGTCCAGGAGAACTTGATGCCTATGGGCAAAGGTGGAATCTGCCCTCCATGCAAAATGGGTGTGTGGGACTCTTGGGGGTTAGAGTCTTATATGGAAACTGAATTATTTTAAGAAGTCTCTTGGCTCACCTGCAGAAGATAAAAGCTAATACCTGTCTATCTTTTAAAGAATGACAAACAATTACTATACTTCACTGAACACATCTTGTATACTATGCATACGAGCCAATTGTAGCTACTTTTATTTTTTGGGCTCTGCCATCAAAGCTTTTGAATACTGTCTTAGCGTCAAACCATTATGGTACTTTAGTGCATTGACATGTGAGCTTGTGTTTTGGTGGAATCAATGTAAGTTTTCATATCTCTTCTTTTCATCTTAGGATCTTCCAGGAATCTAAAAATGTGTGTGAGATTTCACGTGTAAAAGCTGAGTTATTCTGAATCCACATTTTCCTGAAGATTTTTCTTTGTGTGGTCAGCTTTCTTGGAAAAATCCAGAAGTCGTCATGAACTTACAACCCTGCACAAATAAATGTAATATTTCAGTTGAAGATTGAGAGCTGACATATAGGGCAAGGATAACTGGCCCAATACAGACATAGGTCCTTTGAGTAAAGCAATCTGATCATCCTTAAGGAAAGCCTCAGTATAGAGCCTAGTCAGAACCAGTGGAAGTTTAGACTCTCAAAGAGTCAGCCAGGTTCCTCTTGGGAAGCCCCTACTCGAGAATCCTGCATGACAGAGTTTGACATCTGGCTCTGTTACCTACAAGCTTGACTTCATTCCTATAATCCTCCATTTCATCATCTTTAAAGTGGCAGTGAATTGTGTCTAGACAGACAGAATAGATGCATGTAGTGAGTACTACGCAAATGGCAGCTTCCATTGCTATTGATGAGTGCGACTTGCTGAGAGAATCATCCATCTATCTTCTATGTGCTAATTGAGTGCACATGTTTCTTACCTATGAGTGTTAAAGCTTTGTCAGGAAGAGTGGCAACATCTCAGGCTGAATCAGCCCTATCCAGGACTTGGCATTCCCTAATCTGGGCCCCAACCTATGAGTCATACAGCCTTCTCCATGTGGACACCACAGCAAATCACTTTTCCCATAATGAACAACCAGACACACTCCATTGTGGTGACGGAAAGTAATTATGAACGTAAATGATCTAACCAGACATGGGTTCCACTAAGGTTTAACCCCTGGTTTCCTTTTCTGCACAGTAATCACACACTGTCCTGTGGCAGCCACTGAGGGAAGAATCATTACAGAGAATTATGTGATCCTTCTGCCCACTGAACCACAGGCTGGGGTGCAGGCAGGGGCATGGCACATCTGGCTTTATTTTGGGGTCTGGTGACACCAGGAACAGGGATAAATGCCCTACCTTAAGTATGGGCTGTTCCAGATCCAGGAGCAAATATCTAACAGGCCACATTCCCTTTTTTCCCAGCCAGAATGGAGGTTTCCATTCTGACGTGATATGGCCACAATGTCATTAGAACTACCAGCACTCATATTCCCCTCACTGTGATCCCTGCAGCTCAAAACAGAGCTATCTAGGCTATGGTCTGCACAGGTCAATGTGACTCTAGTAATTCTGTTACTACCTTTGCAATTGCTTTTTATGCTAGCACAAACACTGCTATTAATTCTCTCGATACCATGGCTAGGCAACCTTTATTCTGGGCCCAGTGCTGAGCTAACCACTTTCACATATATTTCTCATTTCATCCCTGTGAGGTTATACTGATATTACTCTCACTTCCTAGATAAATGGACTGAGAATTGAATGGGGTAAGGTGACATGCCCAAGGTCCCGTAGATAATACACAGCAAAGCCAGAATACCAACCCAGCTCACATGGCTCCTGGGTCGAAGCTGGTTGCCCCATATGACAAATGTCGTCTGCAGTAACAGGTCCATGTTACCAACATCAGAGTAGTTGAACTGATTTTGTTAACATAATGCCTAGGAAATCTAACCAAGGCCATTTGTTGTTTAAACTGAAGCAAGAAGAAGATTGCAGTTAGGAATAAAGAAATTAAGCAATTTTGGTATAGCAAGAGAATCCTGACATTTGTTGCCATTATTTATTTATTTATTTATTTATTTAATTTGTTTCTCGAGACAGGATCTCACTCTGTCACCCAGGCGGGAGTACAGTGGTGTGATCTTGGCTATGTAATCTCGGCTCACTGCAACCTCCACCTCCCAGGTTCAAGGGATTCTCGTGCCCCAGCCTTTGGAGTAGCTGGGATCACAGGTGCGCACCATCATATCCAGCTAATTTTCATAATTTTAGCAGAGATGGGGTTTTGCCACATTGGCCAGGCTGATCTCGAACTCCTGATCTCAAGCAGTTCACCTGTGTCAGCCTCCCACAGTGCTGGGATTACAGGTGTGAGCCACTGCATCCAGGTGCCATTATTTATTTAGTTTTTAAAATGAGGAGTAATGTAACTACAGCCAGGTATACATAAAGTATGTTAATCTTAAGTATACAGCTTAATGAGACAGGTTATCCATGTACAAATTTTTGTAAATTTGAATGTGTATGAGTTCTCAACTTAGTGTCACTACAATAGCAAAACATTTCCACCCTCCAGAGGGCTACCATATGCCTCCCTCCACCACTGTACTCCTCCCTCTACCAATATTCAAGTGGCCATCATCATCGATTTGTTTTGCCTGTCTTTGAATGTGTATATATATATAAAACAAAGTATGCATATATATACTTATATATGTACACTTATATATATGTGTATATATTATATTATATATATGTGTATATATACACACACACACATACATACACACAAACACACACACGCACACTTTTTGTCTGCTTTCTTTAACTCAACAAAATATCTGTGGGATTCTTCCAGACTAAATTATACATGGACAATACTGTTGTACCAGTAGTTTGTTCTTTTTAATTGCTATATGGTATTCCATTGACTGGAGAGACCGCATCTATTTATGTTTTGACTAAGATAAGTAAGTCATTTATAAACATTTTTGTATAGGTATTTTTGGACATATGCAAATATATGGGTATACTTTCCTATGAATAGAATTTCTGGGTTATAGTGCAGTTGTAAGGTTCATTTTAATAGAAACTACAAACAGATTTCTAAGGTAGTTTTACCATTTTATATTCTTAACCGTAATCTATGACAGTTCTTCTCACATGCTTGCCAACACTTGGGAATGTCCTGACATTTATTTTTGATAAGCTCCTTGTACATTCTCTGTTTTACAAATAAAGCCTGAATTGTTTCTATGAAA